TTTGGCTTTCTTTAGACACACAGCACCTTAGATCCAGTCTTTATAAACTAGGACCAAGTTGTTCCAAACATGCACTCAATTCTAACCTTCCTTAACCCAAGGTAGGATGCAATTCAGTCACATTCGTTCAGTTCTATCTTTAAATTTTTTCCTTCTAATGAATTCTCAGAAGCAGTAAATGGAGAAAGTCACTAAAAATCAATTCAAGCTGTGACATTCTGAGGAAAAAGAAGTGATGTCATGTGACCTTTGTTTTAAGTGTGAAAGCACTTAAAAGCATCTACATAAAGTGCAGTGTTCTCAGTTCCTCTAAAGATGCTGAGATGGAAATTTAGAGACAAAGCCTGCAAATATATCAAAACCCAAATTTTGGGTTATTAAAGACACCTGTAACTATTATCCAGCCATCTGCCTATTTTTAAAATGCAGTGTTAGGAAGAGCAATGCTACAGTTTAGGCTTACTGTGAAATACACGAACAAACAAAAAAGATGCCTATATTTTCCTTGAAAATGGCATTTAATAATAGTTCTGTATTTTAGAGAATTATAACATTCACAAGTGGCTGGAAGAAACCCAATACTTTATAACTGATATTTAAATTATATGATTTTTTCCGTAGATACTTATGAGAGGAAGGAAGAAGGGTGGAGTAGGGATGAATTATCAAGCTACCATACTGAACCATGAAAAGTTTGGAGCAGAACTAACATTGATCTGTTTCTTATTTACTAGACAACCTTTACCCTAAATTTTTTGAAACAACAGGGAAAAAACCAAATCTGTTTTGCTACAGTAAAAATCAGAGAACCCACAATTCTTATGTAAGTGTTGGAATTATAACCCTTTTGGGGTCATAGAATCATTCAAGAAGATTTTTTTAGTTAAGAGTTTAATAAAAACTATGACTTTATGGTAAGATCCTTCATCAAAAAAAACCTGGTCACTCTTTGTGTTTAATCTGTTTATTCCCATGTTAACACAAGGCTATTTTTAGTGACATGATTTTATGCTGAATTTTAAAATCCTTTTAGGTCAGACCATCCTCACTGTTTGCTTGCAGAGCCGGGTTTGAATTCAGGGCCATCACACTGAGCTACAACCCCAGGCATTATTTTAGTTTTTATTTTTGTTTTATTTTGAGACAGGTTTTTCTAAGTTGCTAACTTCCCCAGACTGGTTTTAAACCTGCAGTACTCCAGCCTCAGCCTTCTCAAGTGCTGCTGGGATTACAAATACATAGCACCACATAGCTCATTAGACAAATGGGCAAAGGATATGGAAATGTAGAGAAGTACCTGGAAAGGACCAGTTACTATATCATAATGACCTAAAACTTACTGTCAATGCAGAGAATACAAATTCAAATAATAAGATAAAATTTTAGATGGCCAGAATTTAAAACATATAATGCTGGTAACAATAAGAGATAATATTTATCAAGTGATTATTTTATCCTAAGAACTTTATGTGGAATATCTCACGTACTAACACAACAATGCTAAGAAGTAGATTTCGCAGTTCAGCTAGCAAATGAGAGAGGCAAGATTCAAGCTTGTGCAGTTTGATGCCTTGAGCATGCTCAGTGGGGATGAGGAAGCCAGGAGCTATGGAATCTTACACTCTGCCACTGGCAGGTGATTCAGGAAAACCTTAAAGAATGTAATGCAATACAAAGTTTATTCCTTCTGTAATCTAGGTCCCTGCACAGTTAAGGTGAGAAGATCAGATTCAAAGCCAGCCCGGGCCACTTAGCAATACCCTCTCTCAAAATTTAAAAATAAATTATAAAAAGGGTTGGAGGAATAGCTCAGGGGGAAGCCCTAGTCTTAATCCCCAGTACCACAAACAAGCAACTCATCCCGACAGCCTGGTACAGTGGTGTACATCTGTGGTCCCAGCACTGGGGAGGCTGAGGAGGGAGGATCACCTGAACACAGCAGTTTCATATCAGCCTGGGTAATCCAGGACGTCACTGGCTCAAAAATCAACACAAAGCAGAAAACCAAGAAAAATCTCATTTGCTTTGACCTGCTATCCTAGACAGAAAACCCACCAGCATCTGATCATCATCTATATTGACTATTTAGTAGAATTTACTTGTAAAACAATCTGGGTTTGGCTATGTGTTTTGCTTTTTAATTTTGTATTTTGTTGTGAGACTAATTTTTCTTAATAGCTAATATTTTATGTTCAATTTCTTTTGCTTCTTGAATTCATTTGGTAAATTACACCCCCCCCTCCAAAATTATCTGTGCCATTTACCAAGATTTGTGTATCCATTCCTAGTTCCACACTTCTATTTGCCTGATGATAGTGTTGAAATTTGGAAACCACTCTCTACTTAGTTCTGATAAGCCCAGATCTAGGGCTGTGATTTTTTCCTATGTTTGTTTACATCAGTGTCCTCTCTTCACCCTGTATCACCCCACCCAATACCTGCTTAACCATGTTCATTGCTGATTACTCTATGGGCCCAAATGACATACCACCCACACTGTCCGAGTTCATTAAAATAGTCATTTAAGGTAACCCTTTATTTATTAAAACCTCTGTGATACATAGCGTGTCATTTTTTAAATTCTTAGTGACTTTTTTTTACTGTTGTCTATCTCAAGTAGTTTTGCTCTGTTTGATACTCATTTTCCACTTTTTATTCCCGATATAAACTAAATTTACAGCGTTAGGTTTCTCATAATTTATTGTTTCGGCTGCATGTTTGAATGTGTTTCAAGTCTGTATACCTTCTAATTGCCATTATGAGTTTTTCAAGCCATGAATCACATCAAAGTACTTCAAAATTTCTAAATTTATTATTTAAAATTATCCTTGTCATGATTTCTAAACTACTTGTATTGTGGTTAAATCAGTGTGATTAAGTTCTGTGATATTTCCTAAGAATTCCATTATGTTTCCAGCAGTGGTCAATTTTTATGTATACTTTACATATTCAAAATACTTCAGGGACACAGGACCCTATGTCTGTCTAACAGAAGAAGCTAATAGACAATTTCTAAATGTGGCATGTTAAAATCTCCCACTACAGTGGTGAAATTATCAGTTTGTGATATATATATATAAAATTACAAATGGATAGGGATATAAATTATAGCAGAGTATTTGGGCAGGAACTTGAAAATAATATTTCTGTGTATCACACACTAACCAACCGATTGTGCCACTGAAGTTCGAAAATAACACTTCTAAATATTTGTTGGTAGTTATTAGGCTGAATTCATTGTAGGAAATAGTATATAATCATCAAAAAGCATATTGTTGTTCTGTACCTTTTAAGCTAGAGGGAGGTCCATATTAAGTGAACAAGAAAAGTTCTAGTGTGGCTACTGTGACTCCATTTTTAGCAAAAAAAACAAAAACAAAAACAGAAACCAGGAACTACTTGATTTATATATCTCAGTTTGAAAATAAGATTGTTAACACCAGTTCCTAGGGCTGGGGATTTAGCTGAGAAGCATAAGCACCTGTTTTGCAAACATGTAGTTGTGTTAATATTTTTGTTTTACTTCTTACAATAACCATGTTTTATTTTGGCAACTTAATGTGGAGTTCCATACTGATGAACTTTAGAGGATCTGATAGAAAGGTGTGTCTTGTGGGAAAAAAGCAAGTTATGAATGTTACAACTTGATTTTACTTCAGTGACACACACTGATAGATGTAAACAAGGAGATGGCTGGGAATACACACTGATTACCAATCAGTGTAGCGTGGGTTTTTCACTACTATGTTTTTTTTTTAACATTCATTTTTCACAACTATATGTTGTGAGCACGAAAAATGAGTTTTTTTAAAAATTAGAACTACAAAAAGTCTATGTCCTCTCTAACCAAAAGCAGTAACCGTAGTCCACACACCTGCACACTAACTGCTGTACCCAATTCTAGGCAGTTCAGAGACCCCCTGAGAAACCCTCCGATGGATGGTCTTGGTTTCTGCTTCACTAATACAAGGAGTTTATGGCAAAAATATTAGTGGACCCACAAATGTCTCCCTCATGTCCTCAAAAGGAGAGGAACTGGCCCCCAGGGGCAATCTTGGCATTGAAAAGCAGCAGGACCTCATCTGTAATGACGTCAACATCACTTGAGCAAAATGTGACTGCATCTCTTCTGTTCTTGTTTACTGTGGGCTCTTGTCTATGGAAGGTGTGAGGGGGCGGGCTGCTGGCCTTGCTCTCAAAGCTCCTAAGACACTTACTCTCAAAAGGGGAGAAGACAGGGACATGGCCGTGCAAAACCATATCCACATTATAACGTAATCTTCAATAGACAGAGTTTTCATAATACAAATTCATATGGCAGAGGTGTACCCAAAAGAACTGAGCCTCCAAGAAATGAGAGAAGTGCTGGGGTTGAAGGCAATAATTCTCATCCTGAAGGCAAACTGAGGAATTAAAGGACTCAAATTGGGAAGTAATGTGATTTGAGTGTTTTTAGTATCAGTTCTGCTCTATGCCAAAGAATTGGAGGGAAGCAAGACAGACAGTTGCTGCAGTACTTAGGAAGCTATTGCAGTAAATTCTGACCAAGATAAGGGCTCTTGGGCAGTGGGTAGCAGCAGTGGAAGTGGGAACCAGTCTATGGTTTTAGAGAAAGATGCTCTGGAGTAAAATAACACATATGCTTATTAATCTGGGTTGGGAAAGCCAAAGAGGCTCCAGTTAGATTCCTAGTTTTCTGCCTTAGGGAACTGGAAGAAGGCTGTACCGCAGTGAGGTGGGGAGTACTGGAAGCAGAATTGGGGTATTTGGAGGGGATGAAAATAGTGGAGAGTAAATACATATTATTTTTCCTCCTTTGACTCTAGGAGACTGACAGAAGGCCCTGGAGTGCACTGCAAGTTGCTTAATTCCCCCTGGTCTGCCCACCCTCCCCTAATCAGCGCAGTTGAAGCAGGCAATGTAAGTAGGAGAGAAAGTGTAAGTCAGAATTTTGATGTATCTGCCTGAAGGAAGAATTTGATGACCAAACAACATGCATATTCATAGCTGATATATATCTTTTTATTATGCACAGATAAAGGACTTAAAACTGTGGTTATCAAGACTATACAGACTATAAGCATGTTCACAAAGTTGCTGACACACCAAAGACTACAACAGGGGTGTTCAAACTGGCCACAGGGATTTTCCGGTTACTCTTTCTACCCTCCTAGGTGATGAAAAACAGCAACAAAATCAGGCTCATCCAGGAAAAACCAGAAGAGAGAAGAATTGTATTTGGAAACTGATAATAGTCCTCTTTAGAAAAACATCTGTCAGTTTCACGAACAACCCCAGATTAAACAAACAAGAAAAAAACTGTATATAGGACTCGCCCAACAAAATGTGTGCTGTTAACACAACCAGCAGTAAGCAGTCATCAGTCAAACCATGAGGTAGTTACAGTACAAAAAGACTGGTGGGTGCAAATGCACCCCACACACACTTGCAGTCACACCCGCTGGAGACACGCAGGAAACAGATTTACAATCTTATTACCAGACAAGGAAAAGGCCATTTTGTGTTTAGCAAATGCTACACAAACAGCTTACACAGAAGAAATTGATGACTTTTTAAAATAGAGTTACAGCTGGTGAACCAACCTTACACAGTGGAAAGCTAAAGGTGCTACACAGATAAATCTGTGGTGGAGCTTAGAGCATTTCAACAATAACTTCAGTAGCAACAAATAAAAAACAAAAGGGGCTCTGTGGATTATGGGTGCACTGCGGAAATAACATTAGGCTTTGCTGACAGAAAGGAGTTCAACCGGAATATAATGGTTTTAAAGAAACTTGCAGAACATGTTATAAAAGTAGAGCTTGTACTTTGTATTAAAACTGCGAAGGGTGAAGCAATCAGAAGTGCTATAACAAGAAGCCTGGGAAAAATGCCCTATTTAAAAAAAATACTTGAGGATATTTACTCTCCAATATGGGATTAGGTTTTGTTAATATGAATTTCTCTATCTGAATAGTACTTCTGACAATGACACCCAAACAAATAAAGGCTGATTTTCTTCCTCTCTCTCTCTCTCTTTCTCTCTCTCTCTCTCTCTCTCTCTCTCTCTCAAAAATCTTTTGGCTTGCATCTATAAATTTGTAAATTAATTTAAGATGACTTATAAAATCAGTGGCACTGTAGGAACTCTCTCAAAAATATACATTTAAATATATTATGAAGTTTTTAACCCTACCCATCTAAGAAACGGATCTTTTAAAACTTCCCCATAGCTAATTTTCTTTTTAAAAGATGGAAAGATTTTTTTAAAGCAAAGAACTGATCAAAGAATTCACAGTAACTGAAATTAAACATTTCATATGGAGTAACTTAAATTCATCTAAAACACTTAAATATATCTTTATACACAAATTTTTGTAGTAAAATATAGCTATAAGTGACTTAAAGACTCTAGTCTTCTTTGAAGACATCTTTAAACTTTTTTATACATAGAATATGCTAAAACAATACATTCTGCTGAAGGTTAGGCAAAGCGCATTATTTTTAAACACAGGTAGCATAATCTAGGCCCTCCACTCTGCTATGACACCCTTATGTTAAAAATTATGGGGACATATTTTCCTAATCTCATGTTGTCCTCATATGTATATAAAAATCTAAAAACAAGGTTCAATATATCAATGTAAATAGTCTGGAAATCTCAGCTGCTAAGTAGTCTGCTTTGGTTAAAATGATCTCATTTGAATGCCTACGTCCATCCAGTCAATGGATCTTAATGACTGGTATTAGTAACGATCCATCTCTATCAACTTGTTTGCCTTGTACACACTGCCTTAAGATTCCGAGTTTCATCAACATTTCTTATGTAAGGTTCCATTCACAGAGGACCAGGCACAACTGCCATATTTTAAAGGCAGTGGAATTCAGTTATGAATATTTTAGGACAGAATCTAACCTGTTCTATTGCTAGAATGCTAAACCATTGGGGGGAGGATTATGGAAAAAGAATACTATGTAAATTGCAATGTCAGTAGTAAATGATTTGGCATGGAAATCCTCTTCTGGTATTCTTTTTTTAACATACGGGTATCACTGAGTATACTTTAGCTGCAAAGTGACATCATATTATTCCATTTAATGAAATTCACTTCAAATCCTTTTAAATTTGGATATATTTAAGGCAAGAGAATGAAAGCAACCCAAATGAGTGCACTTTTCTTCTGCTCAGCAGTGGCCTAGCAGAAATGGTGACACTATTCAGATAACCCAGTAAGAATCCAACGGGATCCACCAGACATTTGATTTTCATAAGGGTCTGCTTTTCATATGAGAGCTTATTAGAAAGGTTGATGTGTGTTGAAGGGAAATGCTCATTCTACCAAATATTACTTAAGAATAAGTTTCAACTCAGGAGCAGCAGACAGTATCAAAATGGAAATGGATTTTTTAAAATCTCTTTTTAAAGATGGGGGTCTTGCTAGGGGAACTTGGGAACCTTCTGCCTTGGCAAGTAACTGCTATTGTGGCCAAGTGCCACTGCATCTCTCTTGATTTCTTCAACAAAGGAAATGAATGTGCCAGATGACATATTATATACTTGTAATTACATATTCATATACATATCACCTTGCAAACTTCTCAGCTTTATGACTGAATTTTGCCCCTATCTAGATATTAATTTATCAGAATAAAATGTTCTGCAGTTCCATATCTTGGCCATTTTCAATTTCTACACACCTATAAGCAAAAAACACTTGCATTAAGACATGTTTTTAGTCAGTGTGTGTCGAGTGGGGGGTGGTCTATAAGAAGCTGATAAGGTAATCAGCACTGACTGGTTTTGGCCCAGGGAACAAGAAGGGAATGTTGCCTTGACACATAGCAGGATGCAGTCCCCGAGGCAGCACCCCGCAGGCCACACATCCAGTCCCACTGAGTAGGGCCAGTCAGAAGTGTGCATCCAGGTGGGGTGCAGATTATGCATTGAGGCACGCTGAGAAAGCCTCAAGGCATTTCTTTTGTTTTATATCTTGGTTCAGATGTCAAAGACTCTTTGGCCACATCTCACTGGGTTTACTGTCTAGCTATTACCCTTTGACCATCTCCTTGAGTGTAGGTAAAACTCAGGGCTCCAAATTATGAATGTTCTCACCTGGACAAAGCAGCATTTTAAAAACTGGCCTGTGTTTCACATTGAAAATCCCTAGCCTGGGAGGGGCCGGTGGAGAAGGCCACCATCTTAGCTTTTCCACATGAATTCTAGTGTGTTGCAGAGATCTAGGGGTCACATTTCTATTGGCCATGATGAGGGGTGAATATAATAGGTAATCTTTATACTGAATTCACTCTCTCTTTACGAAGGAATCCAAGTCAAGCCTTTGAATCTGGACCCGTGCATGGCATCAGTGCCAGCCCCTGCCCTCGGCGGTGGAGGCCTGGCTGGGGCTGGCTACGCAGTGCTGCTGCTGGAGCAGGGCGTGCTCTGTGTGCTGCCGATGCTGTGAGCTGCACTGCTGTTTTCCGAGGCCGGTGGGGAGGTGGGGACTTGCTGTCTTCCTGCTGTCTCCCCTGCAGGTAATTTTAAAACAAAAGAAAAGAAAAGAAAGAAAGGTTTTATGTACATTGTAACACAGCATGTTACCCCTTGCTTTGCCATTTTTTCTGATGCTTTTCACAGTTGTGGGTAGGAAGCATCTAGCTCAGGTCTATGCCGTTTATTATTGTTTTTCTTTGAAAGCATCATGCATGGAGCAAGGAGAATTTCTTAACTACCAGCTAGTAATAGTAGCCAAGACCTCTGACAGTTGATGATGACAAATTCCCTGGATTTTATAGGCTACAAGCTTCCCCCTCCTCTTCTTTCCCCCTATAGTACTCGGCATTGACACTGAGCCTTCACACTGAGTTATATTCCAGGCAAGCTCCCCCAATTTATTTTTTTGCATTTTGAGGCAGGTTGCTAAATTGCTAAGTGGCCCAGGCTAGGCTCACTGACAACCTTTGAAGACAGGACTGTGTAAGCCAACTGACAGTGTTTAGATTATACTATGCATCTTCTCTCATAAAGATATTTACAGTTTGGAGGGTATCTTAGTTACTTTTCTTATTTCTGACACAAAATACCAGACACCAAAAGTTAAAGGGAAACATGTTTATTTTGGGCTCACAAGTTTGTAGAGGTTTAGTTAGTAATAGGCTGGCTCCATGATAAGGTGGCACAGCAGAAGAGTGTCACAGAGGAGAAACAGTTAATGGCAGGCAGAAGGCGGAAAGCAGCAAGTGATGGCAGCAGTCCTCTTTCTGTCCCTTATATTCTATCCAGGCTCTATATTCTTAGGGCAGGTAGTTCCCACCCAGGGTGTGCCTTCCCATTATCAAACTAATAACGGTGCCAAAGCAATCAGTGAACTAATCCACATGAGGCTCTGATTAGACATCTAGACACAAGCCATAAAAGAGGGTGAGCATTTAAATTGTAATAATAGAATCTTGGCAGCTTGGGACCTTTTGCTTTTCTGTTTTATGCCAAGGCTCGCACCCAGGGCCTCAGGCATGGTAAGCAGGCACTCTGCCAGGAACTACACCCCCAACCCCTGGGGCCTTTTTCTAAATGATTTGTTTAAAACTGGGCTGGTAGAGTCTGGATATGGTCCTAGTTACAACAGAGAACCTCATGTGTGAAGCACAACCTTCTTGAGGAATAGGGACTTAGAAAGGGCTGCTATGGGAAAACCTTTTGGGGAAGGGGTTTAGCTGTGCGGACATGAGGATTGCAGGGACTGTTCCCAAGTACCCATCTTTTATGCTGAAGTTCACTATTGACTGCATCATGAATATCTAACATATTAAGCATCCCACTTTTCATTACACACCCCACTGCATTTCAGTTAAACCCACTCTCTGTGCCAAATGTACAGGGCTGTGGAGAGGGAGGAAACCTCAGGTCACACACATGGTTTGCATTTAGCAGTCCAAAGGGCCCTGGAGTTAGTCCTCAACAAAACTGGCCTCAGTGCAACCCTCAAAAAATGGCTGTAGGTAGGGAAAAGTGATCAGGGCTCTCCAGTGAAAAACTGCATTTTCTTTGAAAACTCAGAGCATAAAATTTATAAACTTGTAAGCAGTGTCCTCTTTCCAATGCAGGAAACCCCAAAGGACTAGGCTTGTTTATGAGTGAGGCTCCTCTTTCCTGTCATGCTGAAATGCACATCTATCAGCCAGAGATAAGCAACCCTCCCTTCTGTTAAAACAAAACACACAAGCAAAGCCTCTGCCTTCAAGAACAGGAACTTGAGCCCATTACTTCCATTCCTTTTCAGGGGGCCCCTCAAAAGCTTCTGCCAGAAGTGTAGTTCTGCAAAATGTAGAACCAGCTTGTGCCCCTGGGTCTGGTTACAGCTTTCTCCGTCACTCTTTTTATGAACCACAGCTCCACACATTTTTACATCAACCTTAGAGCATTTCTATGCCTGTTGTATATTTGGTCCATGTGTTTCCTCTAATTGTCTTTTCTCCTGAGACCAGTGAGATGGAGAAGGAAAGGGATCCATATTTCCAAGAAGCAGAGCAACTCTGTTTATATGCTTCTTTCTAGAAGACCGTATTTCCCCAGCATCACCCTCTGCTCTTCACATGTGTATGTAATTAAGTGTGAGACATTTGCCTCAGTGGCAGTAACTTTCTGCAGAAAATTTACTTTCCCCAGAGTAGGAGCTTATTTCTAGCAGGGGATCAAATCTTTCTTTAAGTGCTGGGGATCAAACAAACCCAGGCCCTCACACATACTGTACTACTGACAGATACATCCGAACCCTTATTTTGATGTGTGTACACACACACACAACAGAGATCTTAACAACTCTTAATATATCTTTAAAAATTCAGCCCTTTTATAACTCACATTTTGATCTACACTCAGCTGGACCCTCATGTTGTTTATTAAAGGGTTAATGTGGCTATACATGAACCACATTTATAAAATCTCTCTTCCTATTAAAATAAAGGACTCATCAGAAAAACCAAAAGTAAGCCAACTTCTTCCTTTTTGGTTTGGCCAGGCTTCATTTGCTCAGCCTGACAGCACCTAAAGGAGGAAGGCTCACCGCCTTTAGTGTCAGGGAGCAAGTCTCTCTCCAGAACAGGACATGTCCTGGGGTCACACCCAGGACACGTGCCAGAACTATGCCCTGCCCAGGAAATCTGAATATTTGCTTTCTAGCATCTATTTGCCAAATATAATTTGTTGTCACATTAGTTTCATCAGTGCCCATTAAAAAGAGATCTTTCAACTTCCAGAGTTTTGGAAACCCTTGTCATGGTAATACAATCCGCTACTCAAACTAAACCCCTAGAAAAGAAAGAAAAAAAGGAAACAAAGCTCTTGTAAATAAATAAGAAGCACAGAGGTTGAAGGGAGGGTAGGGAAATGGGAAAAAAATCAAGTTATATCATGTATAGATACAAATTCCCTGTGATGAATGTGATCATTATATATACCTAAAATATATCAATAAACTTAATTTAAAAATAAAGTAAACCCCAAATAAAACAATCCAATAACCCCTGCAGTCAGTATCGCAGGATTTTTCCTCCAGGTGCACAAGGTAGAGTAGCCTAATATTCTACAGACTTTGATCCAAATGTCAAGGACAGTCTGTTTGGGAATGTTGAAATTTCCTTCATTGTAAATGATCCCTTCCACCTCTGTGGATATTTTCACATGTAAAACACAAGATTTCTCAATATTTCCAAGTTTAAAAAAAGAAAAAACTTACTTTTTGGCCAAATTTAAAAAAGGATTTTTCACTGTCAGATGGAAGCACCCAGAGATGCTCATCATGAAGCAGTAAGTTTAATGGGTTAGTGCTGCTTCCTACAAAGCCACAGAGTCCTCTGGGATTTCTCAAATGGGTCCTTTGGCTTTCTGTTCTCCAGTGAAGTGGCAGGGGCAGCCTGGAGCACCACCCCTTTCAAAACTACCCTTTGGGTGAAAAGCCGGGATACTTCTGGAGGAGACGAGCAGGGAGGACCTTGTGACTAAGCAAAGGAGGCCCAGTTAACAAATGGAAGAAGTTCAAGGGAGGCGCCTTCCTGACAAATATCAAACTTGGCCCTCAGACACATGTGTTCAGTCTCACTATGTTCCTCAAATCTCAAACCACATTGAAGGAAGAAAGACTTGTGGAGGAGGGAAAGAGCAGGGAAAAGAGGCATTTGTACTGGCGTATTCTGGAGCAGAAGGGTGTGCTGAAGATGACAGCACCAAGGATTAATCCACCCACCTCACTTAGCCTGTGGCTGAGCCCAGATGGTGCCAGAGAGGTTTTAACCAGAACAGGTTTTCCATGAAGAAATCTATTTTGATTTCTTCATGGAAAACCTGTTTTATTTCTTTAGCCTGGAATAGAGTCACCCAGATCCTAACTTCTGCCACCTCTTAGTTATCTACTTGAAACTTTTATCTCTAAGTCTTTCACTGTGGCAGGTTCTAGGGAAGAAACTACATATGCAAAATTTAAGTGATGTGCACAAGGCTCCCTGGGGAAACAGCAATGCAGGGAAACAATGAAAGTGCAAGAATTTAAATGACAGATGAGAAGAATCTAGACAAATTCAAAGGAAGCTGTTCAGTAAATACTGCCCTTGAGGATTATTACAAAGAGGACCAGGCAGCTGGGTTTTTTTGGTTTTCTGTTTGTTTTGTTCTGTTGGACACAGTCAGAGACATAAGTAAAATAGAAAAGAACTTGATGGTTATGAGGATTGGTTAGTTACAGAGGGAATTTACAGGATCTCTTTCTTGGGAGATATTTACACACATGATTGAAAAATCATATGCCTCAGGGTGGTTTTCATTTTATATTCCTTGATGTCAGAAAGAAAAAGATAAGTTCTAGTAGGTCTATGTGTTGGCTACAGTTTTATGCCAATTAACAGGAGTTTCTTGATATCCTGACTCCCATAAGGATAGCAAACTAAGCTATCTTCAGTTTAGTAATTTCAATTACTTTTTATTATTTCCCATAATGGTTCCTCTACACTCTCTAAGCTAAAAGAACTTTCTTTTGAAGGCAAAACTCTCCAGGAGGAGTAAGTGAGATGTTATCAATTCTGGGCCAAGAAATAATCTTTCAAGGTGGGAATTAAAATCTTTCCAAATGTCCTGCTTTTTGTTTCCCTTCTATAGTCCAGTATGACAATCTGTTTGCACCCACCTTTGGTTTTCTGTATCTTACTTTAGCTTGTTTCTGCTAAGCAGAATGCACTTAAACTCTGACAATAAGAATAAAAGGAGAAGAGGAAGAGGGAATGGAAAGATTAGATAGTGAAGAAAGGTCACACTTCATACATTTATTTGTGCCTCTAGGTGTGGGCTACTGGACTTCAAGCTCTAGTTCAATCATGGTGAACCTTTTAGAGCTTTCAATGATATAAACAGCTCGCTGCAGCATGCATGCATGGATTTACCACCACTCTTTGTCCATGTGCTGAGCCAGGTATATTTACGTACTTCCCGAGCCAGGCATATGAATCAAATTTACCTTTAGTAAACAGAGAAGATTCTCTAT